CTCCCCAAAACCCCAAAACCCCAAAACCCCAGGAAAATAAAATCCAATTGAAACAATTAGAACTTTGAGCAGTTGTAGGGCACATTTGTGAATGTTGATTGTCTCTGGAGCCCATCTCAAGAGTATTTAGAAGATGCTGAGTAAGAGTTTCTACTGCTACCTTTCTTCCTTGACATATCTCTTCCTATCACCATTCCTTGCTTCTTCCCGTTCATTGTATGGGCATTAACTCTACTAATATTCTTGATGTGTTTTGTTGATGGGATAACAATTTGAATATTTGGATTAAAGTTGTTACAGAACGACATTGAAGAAGCTCCGTCAACTGAAACCTTGTTATTCCTTGAATTACCCTTAGTCTTGAGTTTTAACCCTGAATTTTTAGAAACCCCAGTAGACCTCTCCACAGAGGACATATTAAGCTTGCAAAAGGCTCTGGGATTATGCAAGGCAATGCTATTTCTTCAGTATATCCCATTCTTCGGCTTTGCCTTCTTAAGATTTATTGCTATCTTAGACCTTTTCCTTGAGGAATTCTTCCCTCTTTTAGTAGATCTTTCTTCTTGTCTAATGTTAACTGGCATCTTTTTGCCTGATTTCAGATTTCTACAATGGATGAATCCAAATCTTACGAGTATTTCCCAATAGAATTCACAGTGTTTCGGCCCATACTGGAAGTAATCATATTGTTTCTTTTCTTACTCTTTGATTTTACCTAAACAAGTCCGAACATCGGCTTACCTTGAAGTTCCTCTTAGTGTCTGGGTTTTGTTTCAGTTGTATATCTACCACAGACCTTCCATCTTTAGTCCTGCTCTTGCTTCTTTTAAATTTCTCAAGCTTTTTGATACAATGGGATGACTTCAAAAATGTCTGTGGTTTTGCAGCCACTTTGGACAGTTTCTTAGGATTTTGAGGAAACTTCGGGTTAGACTTGAAAAGGATCTTTAAAGGCTTCTTCTCCTTCATTTGTCTACTCTATAACAGGTTATGCAGCCGGATAGATTCACTTACTTTGCTCTTGAATGAATCTTCAACAGTAGGGAATCATTTTAGATCTACACCTTCTGTATTGTTTCTACAGGCTCTTCTCTGCTTAGTCTTGAGGGATTTACGGAGCTCAGATAGATCTTTCTTCTGTTCCAAGTAGCTGTTCTTATATCAGGACTGTTTTAAATCTCCGACTTTAATGATATTACTTGTTCAATTCTCTTTATTTTCTGTTTGATAATGCTTGATTTCATTTTTATTCCTGCTCTGTTCATTGAGATTTCCAAGTACAAAATTGTCGAAATCAAAGGACCCAGAAAGAGATTCTCTCTCCTCGCTTCTACGGCCTTCTAGCTTTATCTTATTGAGTCTTTCTCACATATCTTTATACTCAAAATGAGCTCCAGTAATGGGACACTCATATTTTTCAGTATTGTCTTCGTAATAGATGCCTTTATAATTTTCATGGTCAATGACATCGTCGCTTTCTGATTCAAGAATTGATTCTGATTCCTCAGGGTTCAATTCTCCAAAGGATTTTTGAACTCCTTCAGCATAACTATAAAAATGAACATTATCAGATAGGCAAAAATCATGGATTGCTATAAATTTTGAGCTGATTTAATGCATAGCGACATACTCAATAATTCTATGTGGTTTGGAAGAACTAAGGAGAGAGCTCCTCTTTGCCCCTAAACTTTGATCTTCAAAGGAGTCAACTCCCATGAGTTGTTCACTTAGGAGCCTGGCATCTTCATCATGATCCATTTTAAAAGCTAACAATTAAATTTAAATTTTTGAATTTAAATTTTGGGGTTTTGGGGTTTTGGGGTTTTGGGGTTTTGGGGTTTTGGGGTTTTGGGG